CGTTTCATTGGCTGACTAGCAGAAACAAGATCACATCAAATCCTGCATGACAACAGCGCAAATTCCCACTGTGCCATCTACGCCAAACTCTCGATTTTCGGAATGCAACACAGACTAATTCAAGTTGGAAAAAAAAAATCACGGGAATTATCTTACAGAATTATCCCAAATTTCTTCTCAACCTGTCAAGGGCATAAATTTAAACTTACGATTCGAGAGGTTTTAATTTCTTCACAGAATCTTTTCTCCATTTCTTCACGATTCAATCGTTCAATATTGCTGCGTTTTCGTAAATCGGTCAAGGCATTAATCAGCTGTTCCCTTTCCTGCAAAAAAAGACAAACCGAGCTTAGTGTCAAAAGTGAAAATCCCCTCCGAATTCACATTGACTAGAAAACAGCGGTATATCTAAATACACAGAGTGGTAGCACGTGTCAATAGCAATCACTCTCTGGCGAGGGCTATCTATAGATCCATCCACCGAGAGGTGGCGACTACTTCGTATGCGCCGTATATCGTCGAAACGAATGAACAAATCTCCGTCTCAATTTGGCGGAGCTAAACCCTCAAATATCGTACAACTATTTGCCCCTTAGTCAAACTTAGCTGTCTTTTAACTTTTCACAAAATTCCGGGTAATTAAAAACATGGCTTTAAAAGATTCAATAAATTTGGCAGTAAAATTAATCACTTAAATTATTCTGTCTAATAACGTGAGGTGCAACTTATGAGATGAATTAATGGTAATCAACAGACACCCAGAAAATCTTGGAAAGATTAAATCTTTGCCTAAAATGCTTCTTTCAGGGAAACTACCGGGTTGGTATTCACAACAGACGGAATGGAAGTCAGGATCATCGGCAAGCTCACCATAGGGCGAAACGGCATTACTCTACGTGACTATATGCGTGAGTTGGGAAAACTACACTACAAATAGCTGCTCTTGATATGCACCACATCACCGTGGAAATATTCAACTACGAATAGGTGCACGAGAACATCCCTGCAAAGTTTCCGCTCTCTACCCGTTCTCGTTCCCCAGATCGCTTTCTTGCCCAAAAATTTGCATATTTTTTTAAGGCATCCGTACGCGGCACCCAGGTGTACGTGGGTGATGATATTAAAATGGATGGATCGCACATGATGTAGGCAAAAGTCTGTTTAGATTACTGAATTATGTAAAACGTGGCTGATATGAACGTTCTTAACCAACGACTATGTCTGCCCTAGTGGCTGTAATGCCGAAAAATGTTTTGCTTCATTATGCAGGAGACAATGGATTCGCGTGAACACCCGACATATATTTCCAACCAAAACTCACATGTTTTGCATCATGAAGCGCTCGACTTAAAGAGATTTTCTCAGTTTCCGCAGTTTTCTGCTGCTTCAGACGACCTGAAAATGCATTCTTAAAGATAATAATGCCAATAATCCCAGTGAAAAAGTACTACTATGGATCCACGCTTGCCTCAAACTTGATCAACTCAGAAGCTTTCAGAAGCTTAAGAAATTCCAAAAACCGTCACCACTACTCACCGAACAGTCGACGATTTCGTTCGGCGTGCAATAATCGTCCGCAACGTTCGTATAACAAATGCTGATTGACAAGAGCAAGCCGAGCACTAAGTACTTTAAGCTGAAACAACACACCAAAAGTAAACAGAACAACCGCTTTGATAAACAACACACGATAATACACAATCCTGGGATACTGAACTGACCAGAATAGCCACCGAACATCAAGATGGTCTGCAACCTGATTACCAGGTAATGCTATATCTGTCAAAAAAAAAAAAAAAAA